CACTGAGCTACATCCCCGGCCCTGTGCAGTATTTTTCAATCTAGTTCCTCTCAGATTGTCCAGATTAGGTAATTTGTGTTCTGTCTTCATGTTTTCCAATTCATTCTTCTTTCCCCTTCATTTTGCTGTTGAATTCATCCATTGAGATTTTTTGCTTCAGTTATGTTTAATTCTTAAAAATTTTAATTCTGAATTTCCATTTGGTTTTTTATATTTTAGATTTCTTCAATGAAATATTTTAAACATTTCTTTAAGTGTGTTCATAGTTGCTTATTGAAGCATATTTATGGTAGCTGCTTTAAAGTTTTGTCAGATAATTTTAGCATCTTAGCATTCAAGTTGAAATTTTCCTGGTTCTTAGGTTGGCCAATGATTTTCTGTTGAAACTTAGACATTTTCAGGTATTGTTATGGGATATGGCTCTTACTGTAATACAGAAAGGTAGAAAGACTTCCCATGTTCATGGACTGGGAGAATTAGTTTTGTTAAAATGGCCATGCTACCAAAAATGATGTACAGTCCAGTGAGACCCTCATCAACATACAAATACTGTTCTTCACAGAACTAGAAAAAAATCCTAAAATTCATGTGGAAGCACAAAAGACTCCAAACAGCCAAAGGAATCCTGAGCAAAGAGGAATAAAGCTGGCGGCCTGGTAGTGCCTGGCTTTAAGATATACTACAGGGGCATAGTGACAACAGCAGTGTGGTTTTGGCATAAAAACAGGGCTGGGGATCTAGCTCAGTGGTTCTGGCGCCTGCCTCGAAAGCATAAGGTCCGAGTTTAATCCCTTGTACCAAAAAATAACAAAACAAAACAAAACAAAAAACCCAGATGCACAGACCACTGTACAGAAGAGAGGACACCAAAGTAAATCCACGCATCTTCAGGCAACTGATCTTCAACAAAGGTGCCAGAAACACACACTGGAGGAAGGACAGCCTTTTCACCAGATGGGTGGGGAGACTGGTTATCCATCCATAGGAGAGGATAGAAATCAGAGCCTGATTCCTCTCCCTGTACAAAAAGCAACTTGCATTGGCTCAAAGTCTCTGATGTAAGACTTGAAACTACTAGAGAACACAGGAGAGGCATCTGAGCATATTGGCACAAACAGTGACTCCCCAGGCGGGACTGCAGAAATGCAGCAAACAAAAGCAGGAACTGACAGATGGGGTCACACAGAAGTAAGCAGCTTTTGCACAAGGAGGGGACCCCCACAGCGTGCAGAGTCAGTCTACAGGATGGGAGGAATCTGGACAGCGAGTCATCTGACAGTGGGTTAATGTCCACAATATAGAAAGAACAACAAAACGTACGAAATCCGGTAAAAGAATACAGGCAAGTCATCTGAGCAGACACTTCTTAAAAGAAGAAATGCAAGTGGCCAATAAATATGTGAAAAAATATTTGGGGTCTTCAGCCCTCAGGGAGCCACAAATCAAAGTTGCAAGGAGACCCCCCTCTCTCCCCGGTCAGGATGGCTGTCATCAACAAACAGCTGCAGAGGGCCAGGGGTTTAGCACAGTGGTTCTGCTGCCTGCCTCGCAAGCACAAGGTCCCGAGTTCGATCCCCGGTACCAAAAAAAAAGAAACAGCCACAAATGCCAATGAGGACATAGAGAGAAAGAAGTCTTTATACACCATTGTTGGGAACATGGATAACAGTGTGGAGAAAGGTGAGAATGGGATTACTTCGGGATCCGGCTGCCCTACTCCCAGGTGTCCAAAGGAAACGAAGTCAGCACACCAGCGAGGTCCCTTTGTGGCCATGTTTTGTGGCACCGTTCACAACCGTCAAGGTACGGAATCAACCTAGGTGCCGTCAGCAGACGAATGGACAAAGGAAATACGGTATGCGTGCCCGGTGGAGGGTTATTCAGCCATAAAGGAGCCAGGTCCTGTCATTTGCATGAAAATGGATGTAACTGGAGGAGTTCACATTAGGCCACGAGTCAGACGTAGACAGACTAGTATTGCACACTTCTCACATGTAGAAACTTAAGCAAATGATCTGATAGTAGAAGAGGTGCTGCTCTGGCTGGGGTGGGACGGGGAGGGGCAGAGGGTGGCAGGTGGATGGCCGAGGTCTGTGCCCCCGAGGACCCAGGTGCACAGTCCCTGTGTTAATAATTATGATACTAATAAAAGAAATCACCTGTTTCTGCTGGGCTTTGTTGACACCGCTCCTGCTTGGGAAGTGGGGTCCAGTCTCCTGCCAAGAGGGTGTAGAAGTCTGGGTTCCCTCGTGCATTTGTTCCCACCCTGGGGCAGTGAGCTGCTCAGTATTTTGGGGGAGAGGTGGACATTTTGTTGCCTGTTGCCTGGGGAGGGTGGCTTCTTCCTTCCCTGTGGGAGAACACTCAGTACCGCAGGGCCAGGGCACACGCGGAGCTCTTCACCTGCCTTTGCTGGTGTGCAGGAGGTGGCTGCAGTCTTTTTTCCGTGGTGTGGCCTAGGATAGAGTGGTTTTACTGACGGACTGTCTGCTTTGCTAGACTGTACCTTTCCCAGGTCCTTGACTGGAGCGAGCAGCTTTGTCGTGGTGGTGGCGGTTTTTTGGGTCTCTGCTCATTGGTGTTTCTGCGTTGCTGGTTTCTCCAACACCAAGTCTGGACTTTATGATGCAGAAGAATAGGCACAAACTCATGGCTCCAAGGCCCTGACTACTGCCTCCTCCTGCACCTGCAGGTCGCCTCCTGTGTACCTCGCATATAGTGCCCAGGTTTCCAGGGGTGTCTACCGGGAGGGGCTGGAGGAGCTTTACTCCCGTCCTCTGCGACTCTCTCCTTGAGTAGTAGTCAGTTCTTGCCCAGCTTGTCTGCTGTCTCTTAACAGAGCCTAACCTGAACTCATAAACATTACATCCCCACGAACATGAGCCCCTCCACGTTTGTATTAAGACAGTTCTCATCTTTTGGAACACGGAGTATTTTCATGAAGGAAAAAGGGCTAAGGTTGTCCTCACCTCCATTCTTTCCTATTTCCCCAGCAGCGTGTGAAGCCCTGCCATGCGCATGGGCTGCCACATCGCCTCTCACCGCCCTGCAGGGGCACCGCAGGTCACCTTTGTGTAAGGATCACAGGTACCTGTAAAGGGCTTGCAAAATGACGTCTCACTGGTTTGCAGTACTAGCAGCCTGAAATACAGAGTTTTTATTTTTCCTGAATGCTAGTGATTGGAGCAAAGCAGGTTTGGTCACCAAAGACTGAGGGTGGGGGTGGGGGTGTTAGAGAGTGGAGAGCGGGTTCTTGTGGTTACCGTCATTGGGCAGTGCCGCCTGTTCCTTCTTAGGGCAAACACGTTGTCTGGCTTGTAGAGAATGTTCCTTTAAGAAGACAGCACCTGAGAGGGTGTCTAGGGGTGACAGCTGGAATAATGCTGCACCCCACTTTTCTGAAGAAGAGCATGCTTAGGATTCCTGCCTTGTCTTGCTGTGAAGTATTTGTATCCTGTCCCAATTTGTCTTTTTTTTTTTTCTCCCAGTGTCCTTGTATGGCTTGGTGTGAGGCTCTTTTTGGAGTTATTTTGACCCTAAGCCCTAAAATTGGTCTTGTATTTCCCCTGATATCTCTTAGGACTTTGTGCCTTATATCTCTTTTTAAAAATGAGTAAGCGTGTAGCAGAGAGTACGATTCACCTCCTCACCTCTGTCTCCAGGCCCCTGCATGGTGTGAGAGGAGTCAGTGTTGAGCACCAGGCAGGTGTGGATCCCACAGTGCTCCTGGCAGTGGGCCTGGCCCTGATGTGCTTCTGGGAACTTGGTAGCTGGTCAGGATTGTATCGTTCCTGGAGCTTTTCATGGTTTTACTTCCCGAGAGAAGGTGTGGGGAGATGGGACAGATGGACCGTGTGTGTATCTCTGCGGTTTCTGCGTGGGTAAAGGGGGAATAATTATTCATCCACTGCAGACAGATACACTCTCAGGTAGGGGAAATGTTAAATCAGTCAAATGGAGAATGGAGCAGCAGGTTCTCCAGACACTTGGTAGAAGGAGAGAGTTGGTCTAGCTGGGCCAGCCTGGGAAGGTGTCCTGGAAGGGGTGGACTGCGACAATTCTTGATCTGGACCTGGGTGTGGGCCGTCTGAGACCTGACTGCAGGTCCGATGGAGGCAGGTGGAAGTGTGCCTCCTGGGCTCCTGTTTTGGAGGGAGGAAGGATGTGGATGCTGGGGAAGTTTGCAGCCTGAGGGTTCCCTGGAAGAGGGGTCTGCTGCGTTTCCTCTCAGCATCCTGGCAGGCAGAGGCCCTGGCAGGCAGAGGCCCTGGCAGGCAAATCTGTGAACAGGACTGTGGACTGGCGGTAGGACCCACGACAGCTGTCCTGGCCACCTCTGTAACCCCAGGTGTGCAGGTTCTGCCCTTGCAAACCAGGCTTTGCCCCTAGCCTGGGCAGGGCTGCTTTCTGCCCCAGAGGGACCTTTTTTAATTTGCCGAAGGCACCGTCAGGGCTCAGATCTGTTTCCTTGTGTTTCTTAATATGCTTACACATCAAGGCCAAATATTTAGCATCTTGCTGTAATGCAGTTTGCTCAGTGACTTCCTTTAGCCATCTGTGGGGACTCAGTCATCCTTTTGAAGACTGGCTCTGTTAGACATTTGCAGGGTTTCAGAGGACATGCTGTCCGGGTCCATTCCTGCTGTCCTGGCGACCAGCTTAGGGGTAGGTGCTGTCTCCCTGCCTTGCTCCGTCTCCTGCCAGGGCAGCTAACCTGCTGAGCACCTTCTCCCTGGGGACCCTCCCTGTCCCTGCTGCCCGAGTGTCAGGCACTTCCTGTCCCCTGGAGCCCTCTGTGCTGGGCTGCTCCCTGCTTCTCGGTCTCATCCCCAGGGCTGGGTCCTGGAAGGGATGGATTCGAGAGAGAGGCATGGAGGGTCCCGGTGAAGGAGAGCTGGGCGGAGGCGGAGGGAGGAGGCCATCATGGCCCAGCACCTCACTAACCAGGTCCCCTGGCCTCCGCCCACCCACAGGAGTCCCCATGCCTCCTCCTGAGGACCATGTCCATGATCTTCTTCGCTAGTGTGGTACGGGTGAGGGACGGACTGCCGCTCTCGGCCTCCACTGACTTCTACCACGCCCCGGCCTTCCTGGAGTGCAGGCGGCGCCTCAAGGCCTTGGCCCTGCAGCTGGCCAGGCACCCGGGCCGGGGCTCCGCAGAGAGCTGGGACTTCCGCATACAGTAAGTGCAGCTGAGACGTTCCTCCCCCTCCCTCCTCCTCCTCCTCCCTCCCTCCTCCCCCTCCCCCCACCAAGGCTCTGGTGGGACACCTTCCCCGTATGAGGGCTGTTCTCCTCAGAGAGAAGCCTGTGACTTCACAGTGATATCTTGGGTACCTCAGTATTTTTTGTTTTTGTTTTGTTTGGCTTTTTTGGCACCGGGGATCGAACTCAGGTCCTTGCACTTGTCTGCTGTGGCGGGAGCACTGAGCTAAATCCCCAGCCCTTGTTTGTTTGCTTTTGAGACAGGGTCTCCCTTTGTAGTTCAGGCTGGCCCTGATCTCACTCTGTAGCCCAGCCTGGCCTCGAACTTGTGGCGCTCCTTCTGCCTAGGCCTCCTGAATGCTGAGTTTGGCCATTACTCTTGGCTCTCACCATTCTTTCCACAGAGGAAGCTGAGACTTTCTTTTCTTACAGGTGTGCAGTAGCACACCCTTTCACAGTTAAGGGGTTATGTGCTAGGGCTGCCGAGGCAGAAATGCCTTCTCTCTCTCCTGAGGCTGGAGGTCTGAGCTCCAGGTGTGGCAGGGCAGAGCTCCCTCTGCAGGCCTTGAGGAGGACACTCCCAAGGCTGCAGTGCCCCCTGGTGGCAGTCCCTGGTTTCCTTGCCTGGCAGGCACTCCATGGTCACATGGCCTTTCTTGTTTCTGTGTCCAATTTCTCTCTTCTTGTAAGGGTAGCAGTCATTAGAAGAGGGCCCTCCCTACTCCAGAATGACCTTGTTTCATCTTACCGACTCTGTTTCCAAATGGAACCCCATCCGGCGGCCTGGGAGGTAGGATTGCTGCCATCTTTTTAGGACACAGCCCACAGTAGGGCCCTCTGACCTATAGGAACAGCTTGTCCTGAGGGGACAGGTGCTCTGAAGCACAGCTGTCCAGGGAGCCACCCTGTCCTTCCTGAGAAAGGATTTTTGTAGGGAGTTCCAGCTATAACACAATGTAGAACATTAGAGCCTGAAACCCTCCTGCTGGAAATGCCCAGAAACATGGCTGCCCGAAGTGTATAGTGGAGCTTGGAAGAAGCCCCAAGGCAAAGGGAAGTGAGGATGCAGGTGGTGAATATGTGCCTGTGTGCCCGTGCATGTGTGTTTGTGTGTGTGTGTGGTGACACAGAGGCTCCTGGCGACTCACAGGTGCTGACAAGGCCTTCATACACGTGGGGCCGGGGCGGGGGTCAGGGTGAGACCCTCGCAGAGGAAGGAGGGTGCTGGCCGGCGGCAGTCCTGCAGACAGCATGCTGCTCAAGGGCGCGCTCAGCTCACCTTTGCCTCAGCTGTGGTGGTAAAACAGTCGCACCTCAGAAATGGGGCCTCTGCGCCTGTTCGGCCTGGGGGCTGCAGTAGCAGTCTCAGTTCCCCAGAGTCTGGGAACCCCCATTGTTGTTGGGCCAGACCCAAGACACCCCTGGGGGAGCCGGCCTGCCCTGCAGCTCGGGGCTGGGGCTTTGAGGGAGGAGAAGCCCCTGTGATGAGCTTAGTGGAAGATGGTAGAGCAGGAGCAGGTACCACCCGAGCCGGTCCTAGCCACCCCAGCCAGGTGAGCCGCAGCCCCCAGAACTCAGGCTGATGAGGAAGGGGGCAGCCTGAGGAGGAGCAGAAAAGGAAGAAATGCCTTGCATTTGTTTTAAGAAACCAGAAAACAGAAGCACCCCTCATGCCTGCCTAAGTTGCATGGTGTTGGGGACTGGCACCGCCAGACGTTAGAAAGACACAGTCTCAGAGCTCAGTCTCGCTGAAGAGTGACGTGCGCAGCAAGCAGCCCCAACTGTTTGAGGCCAAAGGAAGCAGACTTGGGTGGGCTGTGCTGGGTGTGGGCGGGCCCTGGCCTGGCTCCTGGTGACGCAGATGAGATGCTGCTCTTCTGTTTCAGCTTTTCTTCTGCCCGGGATGTGGCCTGCATGGCTATCTGCTCCCGCCAGTGCCCAGCAGCCATGGCCTTCTGTTTCCTGGAGACCCTGTGGTGGGAGTTCACAGCGTCCTTCGACACCACCCGCATCGGCCTCGCCTCCAGGCCCTACGCCTTCCTCGAGTTTGGTTCGTGCCTTTTGCTTCCACGTTTCCTCTCTCCTCTCCTGTGTGTGGTGTGTGTGGAGCTCAGGGGGCTTTGATCCTCAAGGAAGCAGGTGGGAGGCATAGCCAGGTGACATGAAGCCACGTCGGCCTTCACAGCAGGAAAGGGCCAGGAAGCCTGGAGGTCCTGGCTTTTCAGCTCTGCAGAGCTGGGCGGGGAGGGAGGGAGAGGCTCGGGATTGCTCACCCCAGGCCTCAGACACTGTCCAGGGAGCCATGGCTGCTTATCTTTGTAAGTAGGGTGGAGCTCAGCCCTGCTCCTTCCCCGTGTGTTACGTGGCTGCTGCCACCCTGGACAGTAGAGGTGGCTTCAGTGACAGAAACCATGCAGCCTACAGTCTGAAGTCCAGGACAGTTTGCTGGCCCCTGCCTGGGAGCAGGGCCACTCTGGGGTATTCTTCTATCATGAGGGAAAGGGGAAACAGCGTGGGCAAGTTGGCTGGTGATTCCCTGTTTTGTTTTGTTTTTTGGTAGTGGGAATTGAACTCAGGGCCTGGTACTTGCCAGGCAGGCACTGTGCTGCTGAGCTACATCCCTGGCTCTCCCTGGGACTTTTAAATTGTACTTTATCAAAGTACTAGTGTGCAGCAGTTTGGAAAAGCACGTCCTCTCCTGAGGAGCTTGGGAAGTGCTGGCGTGGCAGAGAGGCCTCGCGGGTCCCTGGGGCTCAGGAAGCCACGTGGCGACGGGGTGTGTATTGGTCTGTTTTGAGCTCTTGGGGAATGAGTGTAGAGGGTAGAGGGAGGAATGGGGCAGCTTCTGTGGGTTCTGGGTCAACATGGGATGTCCTTGAACAAGGGGCTGGCCGCCCTTGGTCCGGGCTGGTGCGGGGCCAGTCCCGCCTGCCCTCTCTGGCTCCTGTGCTGTACCCAGCACGGTCCCTGTGTGGCCCTCCGGCTGGCCCATCAGCAGTGGCATCGGCACCCTCTGATGGTGTCACCTCTAGGTGCTGGGGTCTCTTGGTGGACCAAGAGCCCTGCCTTGGGTCAGCCTCACTGCCGCCCTCAGCCCTCTTCCTGTCTGTCCCAAGCAGGCCGCACACAGCGTCCTCGGCTGCGTTCCTCTCCCCGTCTGTCTGTGTGCTGCCTTCCTCCAGCGCGGTGGGGGACCTGGTGGGAGGCCCTTCCGGAAGGAACGGAGTTAGCATTGGGCGTGATTCTCCTTTGCCCATGTGTATGAAATTTCACTCCAGACACTTTTTAGGATTTGGTAATGAATTCATATTAAATGGAAGAAGTAAAACCAGTCTTTCAAACATATATCCTAATGTGCAGAATATATGCACGTTCATTTGTAATTTTTTTCAAACAAGCCTTTTGGAGATGATTAGGCTGTATGTGCAGCCTAGGGCTTCCCCGTCAGGTGTGGCCGAGTCAGTCCCTGCTGCCTCTTTGTCGCTGAGGCCCTGGGCCGCACCTGTGCAGGCTGGGGGCACCGTGTGGCAGTCATCTGACCTGGATGTGTAACTCGCTCCCAGGCCTGGCGGACTCGTGCGCTTGCCTGGAGATGTGAGCTCTGTTGTGCGCTTGTGGCCTCATGCACACACTCAGCCTGGGCTGCTCTTTCTGCAGACAGCACCATTCAGAAAATGAAGTGGCATTTTAACCACGTGAGCCCCTTGCAGATGAAGAGCAGCTTGGAGAAAGTTCAGGAGGAGCTTGACTTCCAGCCCCCTGTAGTTCTCTCCCTGGAGGACACGGACAGGGCCAACGGCCTGGCGAACGGGCACACACCCGTGCATGCAGAGCCCGGTGAGTGGCCTCCCCTCTGTTGCTGACAAGAAGGCTGCTGTCCTTGTCGGACAGGCGTGGATTTCTCTTTGCTAGAACTGTGTGCTTGGGTGGGGCACAGATGACAGGCTGACCCTGTTGCCAGGTGGCTAAGAATGTGAGCGTGGATGGTGCCCACGTGCTGGACAGCCGGGTTAGCATCATTGACTGTTGGCGCTCAGCACACGATGGAGCATGATCATTTTTCACTTCTTGATTTACCGTGACATAAAAGTAAACTCATTACTAACTAAAGTAGTTGTGTGCAGCCCAAGGATCCTGTAATAGTGTAGGAGTGGGTCGTTACCCGACAGAGCTGTCCACATGGTAATAGTCTAATTATTTTAACTGTTTTCTTACTGAACTCATTGCTTGATTTTAAAGTGCTGTATTAAAAGGCTTCATGTTTTTGGCTTAACTTTGTGTTTTGGTTCAGTCTGTTTCACAGGATAAATTCCCACATTCGCTGTCATGCCAGTCCGTACGCTGTCCTCACTTACATTAGAAGAGAGAGCACTTAACTTTTGTAGACAGAACACTAGGTAGCCGACCCCCAGGCTGCTCCTGAACACAGGCTACTTTGTAATGTAATGTAATATAATATAATATAAAATAATATAACAAGTGTTTTAAACACTTAGGCAAGAGGAGCAAGTCCAGAAAGTGTCAGTTTGCCCACGCCTAGGGCGATTTACTGGTTTGACTCAGCTGATGGTCCCAAGGCTGAATCTTTACAGGAAGCTCTCTCTGTCCTAACAGCACCTGTGAGCTGCTAGCAGGATTCTAACACTGACAGGAGCAAGTTGGGTCTTGCTTGGGGTGTGTGCTTGAGAAATGTAAGACCAGAAGGGTTGATTCTAAAAGATCATAGTGAGAGAGGAGCAGCATTCAGTTGTGTGAACCAGAGCCAGGTCCACCAGTTACCTCTAGAGAAAGGAGCGCTTGTTTGGTGGTAGTTCCAGGAGCTCACCAGTGTCCCTCCTCTTCCCAGGTATTTTAGAGTTAAAAAGAATTAAGTTGCTGTAAATTGCTCTAGAAGTATTCTGGGCTGAACATTATCAGAAAAAGAGTAGAACGTTTTACAAGCTGACGGGTGAGGTGTGTAGCAGGATGCTGCTGGACTCTGACAACCAGTTTCTGAGAAGAGTCCTGGTCCACCCTGGTAGCATAAAAAACTATTCAGCTCAGGGCCGGGGATTTGGCTCCGTGGTTCTGGCGCCTGGCTCCCAACCGCAAGATCCCAAGTTCGATCCCCGGTACCAAAAAAAACCAACAACACTATTCAGCTCAGGCCTCCCTGTCATGGGTGCCGCCCTGGGCTCTGTGGGTGTCTGGAAGCCTTGCTGGCTGCCACCTGCAAGATGCGGTACCACCCTGTGCCAAGGGCGATAATCGGGAATGTCTCCTGACCTCGCCCCACCTCCCGGGGCAGACCACCCAGCCTAGAGCCACTGCTGGAGTGGGAAGGAAGTCAGGCGCTGGCAGACCGTGCCTGCCTAGGAAAGGGCTTGTTTCCGGCGGGCGCTCAGCTGGCTCAGGCCTGTGCTGTCCTCCACTACTGCCTTTTCCCCAGCGCGTTCCTAGGTCTGTCCCCGGCAGAGGTCTGGTTGTGCCTCTGCTGATCCTTCTTTCACAGAGCCGTCGTTTTCACCAGGCGCGTGTTTCTCGTTGTCCAGCTCCGCGTTTCCGCATGGAGCCCGTGAGCGCCCTGGGTGTCCTGTCCCTTGTCCTCAACATTATGTGTGCCGCTGTCAACCTCGTCCGCGGAGTTCACCTCGCAGAGCACTCCTTACAGGTAGCCTGGGCTCTTCACACTTCTGCTGCGGCACGCGGGGTAGAAGGAGCCGAAGGGGACGCTTTGTGTCTGTGAAGTTACTGTGCATTGAATCTCTGTTCGATGCACGTGCGGAACTAGGGATTGAACCTGGGCTTTCACACTGGGCAACATCCCCAGCCCCCCTTTAAATTGCGAGACAGGCTCTCGCTAGGTTGCCCAGGGTGGGCTGGCAGAGAGGCCGGTGAGAAGTGGGCAATTTGCTGGAAGGAGACCGGACCAGCGTCTCCCTGTGAGTCACACCGGGGGCTGCCTTACTCTGGGGCAACCCAGCGGAAGTTGGGTTCTCGGCCTGCACAGTTCAGGCTCCTCCTTCCCCATAGTCCGGTGTGAATAATGCCGCAAGCGCTTGCTTCTCAGTGCCTTCATCAAACAGCTGCATCCCTAGCAGATAGTGATATAGTTCTCCCTGCTGGACTGGCCATCTCAGAGCAACTGTTCCATCCTGTTTTAAAATAGTTGTAAATCTTGAAGTATGTTACTACTTGGATAAGGAAAGGAACCATCGTTAGCATAGGTATCTTTAGAGTAGAGCGATAATGCTCCGCTCTCCCGCGTGTGGCCGCTGTCTGCAGTGTGGGCTGGGCCAGTGCCAGCCGCCTGTCACCACCTCCTGCCATGCAGCATGGTCTCCCTCTTCCTGCTGGTGGTGCTGCGGCTGGAGGCCAGAAGCAGCCCCTGGCCAGCGAGACGGCCGAGGTGTGGTGTCTGCCTGGTGGGTCTTGGGTATAGAGCAGAGTGTGGGTCCAGAGGCCGTGGGTGGTTGGAGGGAAAGCAGGAGAGGGGCCCGGTGCTGCGGAGCAGCAGGGCTGGGAGGGGAGGGGAGGGCAGAGGTGGGGGTCTCCTTTCACCTCAACACGCCCCTTGTGTTCCTCTTGATTTCTTTAGGTTGCCCAGGAGGAAGTTGGGAACATCCTGGCCTTTCTCATTCCTTTTGTAGCCTGCATTTTCCAGGTGGGTGAAACTCGGGTGTCTTGGTGAGTGGGTTAAACCTCTGGCCCTCTTTGTCGTTTTGTTACGGCTGTCAGCGAGTTCCTGATCCCGGCTTTGTTCCCCCACAATCCTGGACCACACTGAGCCACTAATGAAAGAACCTTGGCGCATCCTGACGAATCCTCACCTTTTATGGAGGAAGAGCTTTGGGCACGGAAAGGGAAAGCCACTTGGCCAGGGCTACAGGGACCCCGAGAGTAGCTGATCCGACAGGGACCCCGACAGTACAGGGCAGAAGTGGCCCTGGCCGGAGGTCTGCAGGAACGGTGTGGGTTACAAACCTGTGAGGAATGCAGTTTGCTTTTTTAAATAGTGACACTTTTTGATTCAGATCTGCACCTCAGGGAGTGAAACAGAAATGAGGTCATTAACTAGGGGCTATGGGCACGTGCAGTCCTGCACGCCCGTAATCCCAGCTTCTCTGCAGGCTGAGGCAGGAGTATCGCAGGTTCAAGGCCAGCCTGGGCAACTTAGTGAGACCCTGCTGGGGCGGGGGTCAGTGGGAGGGAAGTACTGGGGTGCGGCTCAGTGGTACAGCACTTGCCTAGCTGTGTGAGGCTCAGGCTTCCATCCCACTACCACAGACAAGACAAGAACGAGAGGGCTTTGATTATTCTTCAGTTGCATTCAGATAAACTGTGTGCTTCAGAGCTGGCATAAAAAGGAGCTTTTGAATCCTCTGTGGGTGAGTTTATTTCAGTAAAAACCTGACTTTTATTCTCTTGCCTTCTCCATTAGGCCAGGATTTTAGCACTTTCTTTGCATGCTTAAGCTTTTGTTTTTTCTAAGTTAAAATTTCTTTTTTTTTTGGTACCGGGGATTGAACTCGGGACCTTGCACTTGCGAGGCAGGCAGCAGAACCACTGAGCTAAATCCCTGGCCCCTAAAATTTTTTGTAGGGCACTTCTCTGCTCTTCCACATAGATCTTAGAATGGTTTCTTTTCTTTTTCTTGGTACCAGGGATCAAACTTGAGACCTTGTGGTTGAGAAGCAGCTGGCACCACTGAGCTAAATCCCCGGCCCCTAGAATGGCTTCTTTTTAAGAATTGCTGTACCTGATTGTGAAAAGGGAAGTTTTCAGGGGCCATTAAGTTGTCAGGGGGATTTAGCTCAGTGGTTCCACCACCTGCTTCTCAAGCGCAAGGTCCCAAGTTTGATCCCCGGTACCAAAAAACAAACATACAAACAAAAGGAAGTTTTCAACCCAAAAATGAAAATGCACTTTTTTTCTTTGAAAACTAGTCTCTAAAACCTGGCTGCAGCGAGTGGCAGTTCTATGGAGCCTGCCTTTCAGGGCTGCAGGGGCCCTAGGGTTCCTCCTTCATTCCTTCAACTGCATTCCTCCTTGGCTAGCTCCTGCTCCGAGGGCCTCTCCCTCCCTCCATAGCCAGAACTGGCATTGAATTGCTCTGTGTTCTGAGAATGTGCTCTTTTAAAAAATACTAAACTAGAAATCTGTTCCCAGCATTTGCAGAGCAGGACTAGCCCCTTTCTGTGTGGTCGCTTGCGCGAAATCCCAGTGGCACCCCTCCTGGGTGCCTTCTTCGCTCGGAGATCCTTCCATGGTAGTGCTCAGTGTGGTGCTGACTGGGAAACCTGGCCAGGGAGAGCACAGCACCTCCGGCCATGCTTGCTGGAGGAGAACTGCACTAGGGTCTCCCAGCCTGGCACCTGCCCACCTGCCCCTTCCTGTGCCTGCAGGTGTGCTGCCCCTGGCTCCCCTGTCACACCTGCTTCTCTGTCCTCTCCCACGTGCCTGATTGCACCTGGGGTCAGCAGCCCGAGCTGCTGGTAGTGAGCCAGTCCCTGGGTCCATGAGGGCGGCGGATGCCATGCCGCGGTCTGACTGTGGCCTTGCGGTCGTCCCTAACAGCTGGCCGTGTGGTCTCTTGCAGTGCTACCTGTACCTGTTCTACAGTTCAGCCCGCACGGCGAAGGTGCTGCTGCTGCTGCTCTTCATCTGCCTGGGCAACATGTACCTGCACGGCCTGCGCAACCTGTGGCAGATCCTCTTCCACATCGGTGTGGCGTGTCTGTCCTCACACCAGATCCTCATGCGGCAGCTGCAGGAGACACAGTCGGACTGCAGCGTGTGAGGATGCGGTGGCTCTGGCTCTGCCCTGAGGGTTGGTCCCTGCCTCCTTTCCTGCCCTGCCTCAGCCCACTTCCCACCTGTGAGCTTCCTTTGGACCACGTCGGGCGCAGGGCTGGAACTCAGGTCCTGGCAGGGCCGGGTGCCCCATGTGTGGTGCTGCAGACCACAGGCTGGTCCGCCCCAGGGCATGCTCAGGAGGGCACCGGAGAGCAGGCGGAGCCTGGGGTCTGCTGAGTCAGCCTCGCAGTAACGGTGTCTCCAGGAGCCGTCCTGAAATCCGGGTCTGTTCTGGAGCCCAGATGGGGCTCAGTGTTCTTCTTTTGAGGAGAGGTCAGAACAGGGTGAATTAAAAACTTATGTAGGGTTCATAAATACAAGCTAGATAAATTTTGTTTACAGTTTTGAGAACTTAGGTTTGCTGTACCTTTGGAATATTTCTATTTTGGATATAAATTGAACTTCAGTAGGACAAGAACAAATTTAAGCTGAGAAAATGGCAAAGAAGCCTGAGTTTATTTAATTGTAGAAGGGTGTCTGACCCTTGTAAGGTGGAGGGACCATGAGAGCAGAGAAACGTGTTGTGCTTCCTTGCAGGGCGTATCTGAGTGCTTTTTAAATTGGGTGAGCAGCCAGCACTGGCGGGTGGTCAGCCTCGAGGCACGCGCAGGGACAGTGTGCCTGACGCCAGCCACACTGGAGGAGACCAGGGAAGGGGACCCTGTGGTGCGTCCCAGACCCTCTCGGAGAGGCGCTGTCACCGCCTGTTGTTCTGCTGCTGATCCTGTGCACCTCTACACAGAGGGCTGCTCGAGTTAATTACTCCTGTACCTTTCCTGAGAATCTGGATTGGATCCAGGGCCTCATTTTTAATGAACAAAAGCCAGGATGTAGCTGTGTGTGTGGTGGTGCGAGCTTGTAATCCCAGCACTGTGGGAGGCTGAGGCAGGAGGATTGCCAGTTCAAGGCCAGTCTGGGCAACTTAGTGAGACCTTGTGTCAAAATAAAAAACAATTTTGAAGGGCTGGAGAATGTAGCTCAGTGGAAGGGCTCTAGGTTCAATCCCCAGTACCCTAAACAAACATAATAACAGAAGTAGATGTTAACTCTCCAAAATTTTATAAAGGTATAACTGACGCATTATTAAAACAATTGATTATCATTTTCCAAAATAGGGCTCTGAGTGAGGTCCCTTAGGTCTCTGGGTGGCCCGTCTTACAGAGCCCACCCCCGGGTTGTCTGAGAAGTCTGGAATCTGAGGGGCTTGAGCACAGCTGCCTGGAGCACTTGGGCTTGGGCCGTGCAGCTTGATGAGCGGCAGGTCGTGTTCCGTGGCTTTTACAAGGGGAAGCCGTGACAGGTATGAGGACGGGCTTGGGAGAATTCAGCTGTGTTTGCTTATTGCTGCTGCCTGTTGTCGTTGAGCTACCTTGGAATCATTTTAGGAAAAACAGATTTCGGTGACTTGCAACTGGGTTGGGGAAATGTTGCCACAGCAGCTTTCTTCTCTGGTACTGGAATTTTCTGTTTAACCCAACTCGGATCTGGATGTGAAAACCATCTTGGCAGCATCCTCAGGTGTAAGCGTCGAGGTTGCTTCTCAGCGATTTTCCCTACACTTAGCAGGTGAACTTTCAGTCTCCCGGGAGATAACCTCCAGGGGCGTGGACGTAGGAAGGGGCCACACAGGAGAAAAAGAAGCACCAGGAAGCGTGGCTAAAACAGCGCAGAAATCTGTTTATTTTGAATCTCGCATGGCCCGGTGTCCTGTGGCCCTTTCCCCCATGTGCTCTGGTGTCTGAGCTGTGACCCACGAGTCAGCAGGTTAGAAATGGCCCCTGAAGGTGGCCTTGCTGGTGCCCACGGAGCGGATGGAGCCGCCCCACACCTGGCCGAGCGTGGTCGGTCTGCACCCCTTGGGTGTGAGACCCACTTTTGCAGCAGAAACAGAACAGAGAGTGCAGCAGCCTACGTGGCTGGAATCCAGCGGAGGGAGGCTGATGATGGAAAGGAAGTCCGGGGGTTTTGCTCAGGAGGCCAAGGGTTGGCTTTAGGCACAGAGGTGGTGGCGCCCTGTGGTCTCATGTCACGAGCTGGTCCCGCATCCAGCAGGGGCTCGGCCGCCCTGTGCTCGCTGCTGCTCGGGCCTTCGCTTTCCCTGCCCATCACCTGAGGCCTGGATCTGGGGAAGAGGAAACAGTGTCGAGGACAGAACCTGTAAAACGCCCCAGGGTCTTGCGCTGCCACCAGTGCCCAGTCCCCTCGTGGACCAGGGCAGGGCTGTGCCCCGTGGAGGATGCAGTGTGCTTTCCCCAGGACCGGCCGTGTGTGACGACGGGAAGGAGAGCCTGTTGAGGTGGCTGTCCCTCTTGGGACCAGAGGCCCCACGGCCTGAGTCCTGGGCTTGCTCCTTGGGCTTGCGCCCTGTTACTCCAGCAGCCTGTGATGTGCACTGCGAACCAGCACCTGCAGTTCTTGAAAGGCCAGGAAAGGCTGTCGGAGTGCTGGAGGGGGCCATTTTAACTGCCCTCTCTTCCCTCTGAGCCCCTTCTCCGGCTCCCTCGCCTCTTTCCACCGCTGTGCCCCCACCCCAGGGACACAGGGACCCTGGAGTCTGGCGGATGGAGCTGTCATTGGCATGGAGAGGGTGGGCGAGGGTGTGTGGGTGCCTAGCACTGCTCACAGATGATGGCCACGGGGCCTTGGGGCCTGGGCGGCAGGGCCTGAGGCAGGACCAGAACTGGGGCTCTGTCAGTGGAAGACAGTGGCTCCCCTGGGTGTGGGGCTGCACCTTTGTCCAGGGCCACCATGGCTGTTCCTTGCAGGCCCTCAGAGAACCTGCTTATGGTTTCCAGGGTACAGCGCAGGTGTGGACAGGTAGGGATGCGGCTATGTCAGACGTGGCTCCCATCCCAAGTGTCCCTCTCAGGGCCCTGCCCAAGTTGGGGAAGCCCTGCCTGTGCACTGTGGGTGCTTTGGGTGGTGAGGGACAAGCAGGATGTGCCCCCGAGACGGGGCAGCTCCCTGGGTGGCTTGGGGACAGCTGGATTCTTCCACCCAGCCAAGAGTCACAGTGGAGTGGCTGCCCGTCGGCCTCAGATTCCCTCTCGGGGGAATGACGACAACATCACCTGCGGCCTTGGCGAGCTGTGTGGTAGTGGGGGCCCTGGGTGGGTCCAGGCCCATGTGCGCACAGAGAAGGGCTGAGTCACCTGGCCCCGCGGTTCCCCATCCCCGGCCACACAGAGGCGTGTGCGGTGCCGCAGTGTGCGTAGCTCATCGTCCACTCCAGATTCTCTGGAGCGGGAATCTCCTGCTGCAAGGCACAGGACCCCCGTGACAGCAGGCTTCTGTTGCCGGGGAAACCTCGTCAGTGGGGACATGGAGAAGGCTGTCATTAGAATCGGAATGGCGAGAAGGGGGACATCTGCCCCGTGACTGTCGGCAGGGTTGGGCCTCACAGCGCCTTCGTTTTCCATGAAACTGAAGCCCGTGCTGCTCCTAACCTGTGTGTGGTGCCCTTGGCCTCCAGCCCTTCTGCCTCCATCAGCCCCTCTAGGGCCATCGTGGCACTAGCCTAGGTCAGTCTGCCTGGTGGACGCCGCTACGCAGCTTAAACCCTGAGGCTACTTGCTCCCTGGACTCCTTTCTGGTGCTTGCTTTCCAGCTTCTGTTTCCGTGGAGCCACAAAGGTCTGTTCCGAGTACAGGACCAGTGCATTTTAACAGCCCGGGCCCGGGACATCCGTGCACTGGGCAGCAGGCCGGTTGTGTATATGCAAGTTAAGTGGGCAGCTGCTGGGCGGGAGGAGAATAAATCTGACTGTTGCTAAGCCAGTGTTGTCTCCAGAGGTTCTGGCTTGTGCATCCTTTCTCGTGGGTGGGTGTGGAGAGAAGTGACGCTGGCTCTCGTTTGGTTCCAGCAACACCTAGATAAGTGCAGGGCTCAGACGGTCTTTAGCACAACAGCAGCCCTGGCGCTGCCCTCGTGGGGCGGTGACATCATCGATGGCCGCCAGGGGGCGCAGCTGCCTGCCACAGTCTCAGGTTCCCAGCCCAGGGTCACTGCTGGTCCTGTAGCAGCTGACAGAATTCCCAGAGAGGAGGCAGGGTCCTGTCCTCCACACCAGGGCTGCTTGTGTGGGGCGGGCAGCTCCATGCCATCTGTCCTCAGCTGCGACTTCGGGAGGAAGGCGAGGCTTCCTAAATTAACACCTGAATGGCCGGCAGAGCTTTGGTGGGCACGGGAAGCCGAGTCCAGCCCTGCGAGCTGGTCACAGTACCCCAGGCTCTGTCCCTCGGCTGGGGCCAGGTCCACCCACCACGCAGCCAAGGGGGCCATGGTCCACCGAGGTTCCCTTCTGGGGGAGCCCAGGCCGATGAGTTGCTGTCTTTTCTCCTGGGCCCTGGCCTTGGTGGGCCGGGTGCCGGAAGTGCTGCTGCCAGCTGCTGGCCATGCGTGGGCAGCGCCTGCCTGCGGAGGATGGGCGTCCTGTCCGGCCCTGCTGAGCCGCCTGAGAGGCTGGCTCAAGTTGTAAGCAGCATCTGTGGAGTTCACTGAAGAATAGGGAGAATCTCTTCGTGGCCTGGAGTGGAACGGTATGTCTTAGCAGGCTGTAGTGGTGCACACCTGTAATCCCCACACTTCAAGGGGCTGAGGCAGGAGGATTTCCAGTTTGAGTCCTGTCTGGGCGAACTTAGCAAGACTCTGTCTCAAAAAAAAATTAAACAGCCCTGAGTGCAATCCCCAGTGTGGAAAAAGCGAAAAATAATACAAAGGAAGAAAAAGGTAGTTCTAAAAAATGTCACAGGCAAAACTACAGAAGCAAAATGATTGATAAATGTGGTTATAAATAAAATACCACCGTCACAGTTATAAGAACAGAACATACAGTCCTCGGAACCAGTCAGGGTGGGTAGACAAGCAGTTTGTGGACATCAGCAAGTTAGAGCCAATCCTGACGGAAGTAAGAACGAGTCACAGAAGAGAAGAGCCCGCCAGCTAGTGCACATGGAGACACACAGAGAGGTACACACCAAGGCAGGAAGTGCTCACTTGTGCCTGCGTCGGGCGGGTGGCACTGGCCACGCCGGGGGGGGGGTCGCCGGCATGCACAGGAGGGGTGGGCATGGAACCATTGGCCAGCTGCAGCCGCAGTGAGGAGAGACACAGCGCATCTGCAGAGCTGTGCTGCTTGGTGTCGCCCCAGACTCCTACGCTAAAGTCCTGGCAGACAGGTGCAGGAGTTCAGGTGCGATGGGGATGTAAGTGTGGGCCCTTAAATGGGGCGGTTAGGGCTGGGTGTGGCGCATGCCTGTAATCCCAGCTCCCAGGAGGCTGTGGCAGGAGGGTCACTGTGAGTTTGAAGCCAGCCTGGACTACATAGTGAGCATAGCCAGCCTTGGATACATATCAAGATCCTGTCTCAAAAACCAGTAAAAGAAGAGAGACTAGGAGATGGGGAAGGCCAGGTGAGGGATGAGGAGACAGCCCCTCCACACCTTGACTCCGACCATGGACGTCGGCCTCTAGAATCGTGGGAAAACAAATGCCTGTTATTACAGCACCCGACAGCCCTTGCCCACCAATAGCGGACCAAGCGTGCCCGCTCCTCTCGGTGTGGGAGTCTCAGTTTGGGTTCGCAGTCCGGGAAAATAGACCCTTAGGTAACCGGGGTAGAGGCAAACGTTCACGGAAGCGGAAGCTTGACCGGATGGCTGTGTGGCACCCACCGAGGAGGCTCAGCAGCACACCCCAGACCTTGATGCGCCTTGGCTGGGGCCTTACCACTTAGCGCCGAGAAGAAAGTAACTTCTGCTCGGTTGCTCATGTGTGCACCAAAATGGTAAGAGGCTTTGTTGGCAGAGCTGTGTGGAATCCGTGTGAATGGCTGGCTGGGGTGGGCAGCGTGGGAGTTAGGTGTGGGTTACTAAGCGCCAGTCAGCCCCTGGAGCACAAGGTGGCCCGTGTGGCCCTGAGCGGTCCTGTCACTTGTGCCCGGCCCCAAGGGGACAAGCTCCAGGGGGGGTTGCACCTCTCAGGCTGCCTGTGGGCGAGGGCAGCTACTGGCGAGAAGGGAGAGGGGTGATGGGGGGAGCCAGTCTGCCGAAGGGAGCTGTCCTTGCAGACCGTCCGCTTCCCAGACCGAGCCAGTTCCTGGCTCGACTTCCCACAGAAGGCGCTCCTCAGAGGGCTCTCCCGGGGCAGGGGCGCAGCTGCAGCGGGCAGGGGTGTCCCCAGTGCGAGTCCTTCTAGCCTAGAAATAGCCTTGCTGGCCCCAGGGCCAAGCAGGAGGAGGGGCGGAGGTGGTCAGCGCTGGAGTGAACTTTCTCACAGAGCTGTCCAGCAGAGCTGTCCTGGCTGAGGTGTTGGGGCCTGGGCGGGGCGGATCCGAGGGTCTGGGGACGCGCTGTTCCCATCTCGCAGACTGTCTCACCCTACATCCTGTGTCCGAGGGGACATTTCCCTATCTCCATCCTGAGGCCAGCCAGCGCCAGCCACAGGAAGCGGCCAGTGCCAGCCCCCACCGGAAGAGTAAATATTAGTCTCTTCAGGAGCTGCCTGTTCTCTGTCACTGGCACAGAGGACACAGCAGGAGGGGCCTCTGGGTCCCCACGCCCAGGGCCTGTGGCCAGGTTGCTGGAAGAACAGGTCCCCGCTGCCAGCCACTGCTCGGCCATGCCCCTGCCGGGGGCTCAGGCTGCACTGACCCTGTGCCAGGCTGTCCAGCACTGTCCAGGCAGTGTCCACAGAGGCAGGCGCTGGGCCCTGACCTGGACAAAGGGTCTCTGGGCCTGCGAGGATGTGGTTTCAGGCCCTCGGTCACCAGGAAGGGGAACAACCTGTTCTGCCCCACTGTCCCCCCACAGACAGGGCCTCCTTGCAAACCTCCTTCGCCCTGCTGAGTCCACTCATGCGTGCCCAGCCATGAGCTCCGGGTGGGCATGCACGCTCACCTATCAGGGCTCAGGGATGTTTTGCAGGTGAATATGTGGGGCCACACTGAGAACACTAGCGAGCCCTCATCCCTGTGCCCCCAGTTCTATTCCCCAAGCCCCCGCTACTGTGACCGGCGAAGGCCAAGGAGCGGCCATGGCTGGGAGCAGGATGCGGGTGCGGACGGGTAGATGGCAGGGATCTGTGTGCCGAGGTGTCCCTGGCTCTTCTGGGTGACAGTGGTGGAGCAGACACAGCGGCAGGGAGGTTTGCAGGACCCAGCCCTCAGCTCTCTGAGGTGGGAGGAGGCAGGGCTCCCGTGTGGCTCTGGGCCTGTCCTGCCGTTGGGGACTTGGGCCGCAATGCCACCCCGCAATGGCCACCCCCCAGCAGTGCTCAGCCTCTCCTCTGCCTGCCAGGGGAGGCACGGCAGGTGTCAAGAGGCTCAGGACAGGGAGGGGTGCGTCCTGCAGCGCGGTGCTCCTGGTGAGTGTTTGGGCGGCGGGAGGACACTCTGCCCTCCGCCCTCCACCCTCCTGTCTGGCTCAGTGGCCCTGCACCTGGGACATCGGTCTCCACTTTCTGCTGTGGGGCTGACCGCCACTCCTCCATGCCCACCACAAGACACTTTCTGCACGAAGCACCCAGGGCAGCACTGTCCCCGCACCAGGCCAGGAGACCCAACGCGCCCGGCAGGAGTCGGCACACCACTGGCTTTCCTGCCCGCAGCCGCCTCCCTTCCGCCCCAAGCCTGTGTCCCTGGCACAGAGGGTTAGGTGAATACCCTAAGCTGGCCCAGGCGTGTGCTGGGGGCGGGCCTCGGAGGGTCCATCCTCCCTGACACGCACACACCCTCCTTCCTGCCAGCGAATGGGCTCCCAGGAGAGCAAGTGCCTGGGACTGTGACGGCTGTCCACACTCACGGGCCATGGGGGTTCAAGGCCGGCAGAGAGGTCCCCAGAAAGTGTCCCGTGGTCCACAAGGACGCTACCGAGCCACTGACCTGGCCTCGCAGCTTCCCGCTGCCGGCCTGCACCCTGGGCGCGTGTCTCCCTGAGCCCGGGGAGGTTGGCAGTACCCCTGGTTCCCTTTCATGATGACCTCCGATCTTGGGGGTGCTGGGGACCCCTGGGGTAAGAGGGGAGACAGAACAACTCAGAAATCAAGGTAAATAATAGTTTAATATTTTTTTAAAAAATCAACATTAATGCAAAAATACATGATGAATAAAATATGAAGGTTTTAAATACAGACGGAATCCGCATCACTAACTGGACCGGCTCCCCCGGTCTCCACGCACGCCACCCCATGACCTCACCTTCGAGGGTCAGATACCGGGGCAGCGCTGGGCTCTGAGGCCAGGCTCTGCCCCGGCTGCAGCCATCCTAAGCAAACCCATTCCCTCTCTGCACTGCACTTCGAGACCCTGTGTGCCCCACGTGGAGGCTGGGGTTTTGCCGCGAGGGCCTCCTGACCTGTCCTCCTCCTCCCCTCAGCCGGCCGAGGTCCCTGTCCCTCTCCCTGAGGCTGTCTCCAGGGCCACTGACTCCCGGCTATTAATATCCCACCCTCGCTGGCCTGGCCGGAGCAGGGTGCTTAATGACTGCCAGCTGCTCCGGCCCCTCCCCGGGGACGGATGGGAGCAGTTTCTGTTCCCACAGCGGGGAGAGGGAGGCCAGCGAGCAGTGGGAATACAGGGGCTGATCTGACCCCAGCCCCAGCCACCAGCACCGCAGGTGGGGTGCCAGGGACGCCACCCCAGCAGGCGGCCTCGCCCTCCGCCTGGCCCTGTCCTCCCGGTCCTTACTGCAGCAGCCTGGTGCTCCTCCCAGAGGCCCCGCGGGTGTGCTCAGCACGTCCCCGGCCAGGTCCTGCGTCCCCAGCCTCCTGCTCCATCCCTGGCGGATGGGCTGGCAACTTTGCCAGCTCTCTCCTCGGCCTCACCCCGAAAGCCCGTGCTCTGCTCCCACTGGCCAGGGCACGGGGCTGTCCTCCGTCTCGTGCGGGCACGCTGGCCTGAGTGGCAGAGCCGCGCACTCCCGCTGCCCTCTACCTCAGGGTGGCGGCCGCCTGGGCTGGGACAGGCGATCCGCACCTGGGCTAGCGGTGGGGGCAGGCGGGGCCGGCTCGGTCAGGCCAGAGTCCACCCGTGGCAGTGGAGGCTGGGCCCTGGGGTCCTGTCCCAGGCTCACCCTGGGACCAGCCCCTGACTGCCCGCCTTCTCCCTCTGTGGCCCTCGGGGTAGAGACAGCTTCTGAGCCACTGGACCCCCTGGCAGGGACTTTCGGGAGGTGCTGCATCCCAAGGCTGACCTCGGGGAGGCTCTCAGCACCCAGCAGGTGGCAGAGGGACAAGCCGGCCTGGGTGACAGGTGACAGTCGGAGGGGATAGGAGGAATCCTGGTCTGGTCAGCCTGCTGGCCCCTGCTGGGGCTGTCCCTGACTCCCCATCCCTGCTCTGCACCCTGTCACCTTCCTGTGCGGGCCTCACCTGTCCTCCCTTCACGCTGCTTCCCAGTCTCTGCCTCTTATGAGTTACTCTTCTTCCCTCCCCAGAAGCCAGGCACGGATGGGTTTCGGGTCTGGGCTGGGGCCCCGCTGGCCTTCCTGCAGCTCAGGCAGTCACGGGGTCCCTGATCTGTCACCTGGTGCAGGGTCCCGGGCTGGCTCTCAAGCAGCCTGGGCAGTACCCTGCCTCCCTTTGCTGGCGTGGTGACTGTCTGGCTCCTCCAGGGGGGTCGCCCCCTTGAAGGTGGGAGCCCTGGGCCCAGGAGGTCAGCAGCCTTGGTGACAGTGGCACTGTCCTCTTCTCCTGGCTGACCCTGGGAAGGGGCAGCGTGGCCACCGCATTCCTGTCTGATCCTCATTTCGGGAGTGACCATGGCTGGGGACTTAACCGTCTCTGAGTCCCCAAGCCCGTGCCAGCCCGGGGCTTGGGAGGCTCCTCTTGGTCAGGACGGGACCTACCCCTCGCGTCACACCCAGAGGAAGAGGATGCACCTCCACGAGGCGAGCTGCGAGCCCTCAGAACATGTGCTCGACACATGGAAATGTGGGCTCCTCACCCTGGCCGGCCGAGGTGGCATCTGGCTCTGGCATGTTCTGGACTTCTGGAAGAGGCCAGGCCACATGGGCCCAGCAGTGCTGTGGCACAGGCCCCAGCCAGGTCAACCCGAAGGGTCCTGAGCCGGCTGCAGCCTCAGGGTCTTCAAGCAGAGGCTTGGCCACCAGGCCGGGGCCCCAGAGTGAATACTGACTGACACAGGCTGCCGTGAGGACACTGGGCTGGGCCTCCTCAGCCACCTTCCAGGGTTGGGGATTCGGGGATAAAGGCACAGTGACTCAGGGTGACAGAGCCCCGAGAGGACCTCGCTGTTGTGACTGTAAGAAGGCAGTGAAGGAAGAGTGCTTTCCCTTCCCGCAGCCCCTTCTGAGTTCAAATCCTGTCTGGATGGCGGGCAAGGCACCCGCCGTCTCCCAGACTCAGCTTCCCCATCTGTGGGATGGGGACCATAATTCCCGCCCTGCCGGGCTGGTGTGAGGTTTAAGGGGCCAGGTGAGCGCCGCAGTGACACCTGGGCGAGCTCCCAGGGCCGCTGACTGCTTTGGTTGGGTAAGGCTGGGGCGACTGACCCCAAGGACAGGAAGCCACGAGGCCCAGGGGAGCGCTGTGCCCACCGCCTCACAGCCCGGTCCGTCACAACCCTGCCTGCGCCGGAGGTAGAGAAACCCACTAGTGGAGGAGAGGCGTGGGGCGCCGGCAGGGAGTCCTGGATGGCAACGCTGAAGCGGGGAAACTCGCCGCGGCGGGGCGGGCCCAGGCGTCGCGAGGCCGGGCCGCTGTCCTCCCATTGGCCGGAAGAGCGCCGGGGGCGGGGCCGGGCGCCGAGAGCTCACACCAGGGAGGCCTCGGCCTGGAAGCTGGAGGAGCGGCGCGCGCCCGGGCTGGCGCGGGTCAGCATGGACACCTGCGTGCTGCACGTGGCGCCTGTGCTGCCGCCCCACGCCGGCTGGGCCTTGGGGGTCCAGCCTAGCATGCCCCGCAGGTGCCAGCGCCGCCACTTCCGCCGCAGCTCTGCCTGCACCTGCGTGAGGGAGCTGGTCAGGCCCGGCCTCCCGCCCCGGCGCCGGGTCCGAGCCCGGCCCGAGTCTAAGCTGAGACGGGTCCCTGCACCCGACTCCCTTCTCCAGCTCACCTGGGCTCCCAACCAGCCACCTCCCACTCCCGCACCCGGGGCCGTCAGAATGCAGATTCCGAGGCAGCGGGCCTGGGGTGGCCGTGGGGAGCTGCGTTTTAACCAGGCTCGGTTAAAGCTGGACAACATGCTGGGGCAGTAGGGTGTCACCCGGGCCAGCACCAGGAGGGGCTCACCTCGCCGTTGAGAAAGCAGTAGAGCACGGCTACCACAAAGCCCTGGGAGGAAGGGGCCAGGACAGGTGAGGACACAAGCCCCAGGCGCGCCCGCCCGGGCACCCGCCACGGAAGGGCTCAGCACCAGGGCGGTGCCCGAGCCAGCGGGAGGGGGCCCGACCAGCCCGCGCCCGAGGCCCCAGCCCCTACCTGGAAGGACCCCACGACGAGCTCAAAGACCATTTTCACCTCGGCCTTGAAGTTGTCGGGGAAGAAGGCGAACATGATGTAGTGCACACCAAACAGGGGGATCAGCAGCAGCGTGGACTTGGCCAGCCTCCTGGGGACGAACGGAAGAGCAGGCTGGGGTGTGCGTGGCCCGCCCACCTCGGCCCCTGGCCTGGCCAGCGTCACTGCCCTGTGCTCAGCATCCAGGAGAGACGGAAACTCCCCAGCGCTTCCCTTCTTGAGAGAGCACTGTACCCGATAGCAGGGTTTCGGCTACTGGGGAGGCGTTCCCAGGCACCAAGAGATCCTGGCTCCTCCCTCCTGGTCTCAGTTTCCCCAGTCTGTACCCTGGGTCCGTGCACTCAAGTCATGCTGCAGACTCAGAAGGCTCAGGGTGCTACCCGTGCAGCCTCCTCGGAGGCCAGCTCTGTCCTGGGCGGGGGTCTCTGCAGCTGCGCTAATCCCAGACATCCCAGGTCACCTGGAGGGTGGGTGGCGAGTGCCCACGTTGTGCCCGGTCACCAGGGAGCCTAGGACTGGCAGCTCCGCCCCAGGTCGCTGGGTTTTCTTCTGTGCCTGCTTCTCCAGGACCCGCCCCCCAATGTCCACCCCCAGATGCCCTGTGGGGCCGGCTCCTCCTCCCCAGCCTGTGCCCAGCAGCAGCAGTGTGGACTCTACATGCTGTCCTCTCTGGGCAGGGCTTGTCCTGGTGGCCTGGGCAGCTGGCCTCCGAGCTGGTCCAGTCGGTGTGAGCCCCGGGATCCCTGGCAGGGGGCATCGGCAGCCTGGGCAGAGGAACCTCCCCTCCCCTCCTTCCTAGGCCCGGCTCCCAGCCATGCCAGGATCCTGCATGCTCCCCACTCTTCCTGGCACAAACCTATCCCACGCGCTGCACAGCCAGCAGATGGAGGCTTTAACTGGAGGCTCACGGTGGGGTGAGTGGGAGCCCACAGCCCCTCCCCATGGAGCGCATTCCCGGCTCCTGCCACCCCTCCACTTGCTGCCAGCTGTTCCCTGCCCTGCCCCGCCTGAAGGCCTGGCGATGACCAGCCCCGCTGAGCACCAGGTGGGGGAGGTGAGGGTGCACAGTGGGGTGCAGGCCCCCGGGGCTCCCCTCCTCCAGTGGGAAGGGATGCTCGTGTGGGTGGAGAGAGTGTGAGCTGCTCTCATCTGAGACTCACAGGATTCCAGAATAGAATCCTAAATCCAGCCCCATGTGACATCCTAGCGGGAACCTCAGACCCTGTCTGCTCTCCAAGGAGGAGCCAGGCCAAGGCGTCCCTGGCTCCCTGGGCCGAAGGGTCCCACGAAGGCTGGGGCCCCACCTCCCCTGGGTGCCAGACCCCTGCACCTTGGCCTTCCACCTGCCTCTCCAGCCCCAGGCGCAGGGTGCCGCCCTCGCCCTGCCCACTCCGCGGAGCCCTGCAGAGCAGCGGCTGCCAGTGTTCTCTGCAGATGTGCTGCCACAGCTGATACGGAGGGCACAGACCCCTGCAGTGACCATCCCTTGGGGACAGGGACCCCAGGGCATCATCGGAGTCCTTTATCACACCCCTCCTCTGTGCCAGGGATGGGCACACAGTGCAGCTCGTGGGGGCCGAGGCAGGGGGCTGGGCACAGGGCAAGGGCGCTGTGGCCCCTGGTGACCCTGGAGGCTGGGGCGGGGCCTCAGAGGGGATGGAGTGCTGGGCCTGGGCCGCACTCACGAGTAGGAGCTGCTGTCGTTTCTCCCGATGTCAGGGGGCCGAAGCTTCTGCACCAGGGTCCGGATGATGCAGATGAAGAGGATGAAGTTCACCTGGTGGCGGCAGAGGCTCTGGGGAGTCTGCCGGCCACTGCTCGCCCTGGGGAGCCCTGCTGCGTTCCCCTCACTGCCACCGCCCCTTCAGGCACTTGAGGAGTAACTGACGGTGGCATGGGCTGGAGGGAAGCCAGTCCGGCCACGGGGCCTCGGTTTCCCATCTCCACGGTGGGAGCAGCTCACCAAGATGGACATGAGGATCGGGGCCTTGATGATCCACCACAGGGAGGAGCTGATGGTGTCCCAGCACCTGCAGGCCAGCCGGAGGGGCCGTCCTCAGCCAGGCTCCCGCCAGGCTGGACACCATCCCTCCCCCAAGGCCCCGACCCTCGTGCTGGCAGCCAGGGGAGGGGTGGGTGAGCACTCACCCATAATCCTCGAAGTGGATCCTGATGACAGTCCACACCATGGTGAAGGTGCTGGGCACCCCTGCCAGGGCCAAAGGGGCCAGAGAGGAGGCGGGGAGAGGACACAGGAGGCGGGAAGAAGGAGAGATTCAGGAGAAAAGAGAAAGGGGTGAGCTTTCAGGGTTGCCAGGTAGAGCTGCTTAGGTTGCTCACTGGGCAAAGATGCTCTTTTGAGAGGCTATGGACACGGTCCCAGAGGACGGCCCTTTCTAACCTCGAGAGAGGCTGCTTGCAGACGGGAAAGGGAAGGCTATTTGGGGTCCACCTGCTGAGCAGCCACAGGCCCCGCCCAGGGTCACACCACGGGGGGGAAGTTCAGCACCAGCAGGACCAAAGACTGGGGGGTACCTCCCCTGGGGGCTCCCAGGCCCTGCCCCTCTGCCCCAGCCTGGCGCCCTCCCTGGTACCATACCCCAGCCGATGAGAATGTACCCCCAGAAGTACTTCCGCTCGGAGAAGAAGGAGATGGCCAGCAGGGTGTGCAGGTAGAGCCCCTCCACCAGCAGCCAGAAGAAGTTGGCCATGACGCAGTACTGGAAGAAGACGACGGCCGCCTTGCAGCCCACCTGCGGGGGAGAGGGCTCGCTGGGGCGGGGACCCCACACCGCCAGCCCCCACACACGGACCCCTGATGTTGAGCTCACCGGATGCGGTTTCAGGTACGCGTCTGTCTACCGCTCACCGCCCTCACCACTGACCTGCTCCTGCCTCCGTCTACTGCCCACGCGTCCAGCCCGCATCCATTCATCTTCCCGGGGACCCATCCGCCTGCCCCTCGCCACCTGCCTCTCTCTGTGTCTGCTGCCCGCCCCAGGTGCTGTCCGAGCCTCAGCCACCACTGCCCACCTCCGTCCAGTCCTTCCGCCTACTGGGCACCAGCTGCCTGCCCATCCCCTCGGCCCCGGCCCCCATCCTGTTCCACTAGGCTGGGAGCAGCTGGAGCAGGGCTGCAGGCAAGGGGGACGCCCAAGGGGGCTGGCTGGGGACCCTGGCTGCGGGCGTGGCCGGGCTGTGCCCAGGTGGGAGGACGGAGGGAGGCCGGGCTGGGAAGAGGGAGAGGAGGAGAAGAGCAGAAGGGGCTGTGACCCTGGGCCGCAGGAGCCAGGGAAGAACGGTGTCCGGGCAGACAAGGAGGGCGGCGTGAGGGGAGCCCGGCTCATGGAGCTCAGAGGCCTGGAGCTGGGGCTTGAAGCCCCGTCCCTCGGGAGGCCTCTGCTTCCGTCCCGGAACCCAGGGCACAGGCTCAGCCCTGCCTTCCCCCAAGAGCAGCGTGTCTGGCCGCCCCCCCGGGAAGCCCTTCTGCAGCCATCCCCACGCAGGTGCAGGTGAGCTTCCTCCCCCCTCCCCTGGCTCTGCTGTACCACAGGAAGCCGAGGTGTGCGTGTGTGCGCGTGTGTGCACGTGTGTGCGCGTGTGCTTGCACGCAGGGCCCCAGGGCAGCGCATTGGCTCTGTCACAGCACAGCTCCTGGAGAAAAGCTTCAGAGCTGCTGAGGAGAGAAAGGGTCACCACCTCCCCAGGCCCCCACAAGTGAGAGGCTGTGGGCCCCCACCTGGGCGCTGCCCTTCTTGAGATCCCAGACTCCACCATCAAGGCCCGCTCTGGGGTCACCCAGGAGGCGGCGAACCTTTGGCCACAGGCAGAGGAGGGAGCCAGGCTGGCCCAGCACTCTCGGTCCCAGCCTGGGGACACGGCGAGGGCCCCTGCGCACCAGGTCCCCAGGGTGGCCTGGCCTGGCCTGAGCCTGGGAGATGTGTGAGCCTGTGGGCAGCAGCAGAGGGTGAGAAGCAGAGGGGAGCATGGTGGGTGGAGCTGGGCTGTAGAGGTGGGGTGGAGAGCGTGCACAGATGGGGAAACTGAGGCACAGGGGCCTCATGGAACTGTAGCAATGGAGGCAGCGTGATGGCGGGCAGGTCCACCAGTATGAGGCCAGTGCACTGCCAGAGAGAGGAGGGAAGATGCCAGGGGAGGAGAAGCCGGGAGAAGAGGGATCCAGGGGGAAACTGAGGTGGGGTAGACCCTCACCGAGCCCTGGGAGCAGTGGTCCGACTCTCCACTGTCGTACAGGGCCCGGTCTTTGATGAAGACGGCGGCGGCCCGCAGGATGAAGGAGACGAAGAGGTGCATGTGGATGTAGTTCCGGGTGCAGTGCAGCTTCCTGGGGGCAGCAGAGCTGGGCACGGGGCCGGGACCCACCCACAGGACCATCCTCCTCCAGGGCAGCCCTGAGGCTCCTCTGCCCCCTGCTGTCCAGAGACGCCGGGCTGGGGCAGCAGGGGCAGGGCAAGCTGGCTAGGCTGTGCCCACCCGGGGAGGGACACAGGCCAGGTCCCGGGCTCGGCCTCACCTGAACAGGCTCAAGATAGCGGTGGCCACCAGGAGGGTGGCGAGGGACAGGCTGTAGCCAATGGTGTAGCCGGTCTTCACTGAGCTATAGAACAGGGTCTGCTGCTGCTGGAGCGATAGGCAAGGTCTTGGCAGGGGCCGGGGGGCTCCAGAGACTGCCTCCCGCCCTTCCCTGGCAGGGGGACCCTGCAGCCCGGGGCTCGCAGCTCCAGTCAGGGATGGGACAGGACCGTGCCCCGGGGATGAGGCTAGCCCTCTGTCCTTGGCCAGCAGTAAGTCACCAGGGGCATTCCTCCCTCTGTGCCCCTTCCATGCCAGGCCCGGGCTCAGCCCTGGGCCGAGACTGCTGGGCCTCTTTCTGTGCAGCCAAGAGGTGCCGGGCTGCAGAGTGCACAGAAGATGCTGCGCTCCTTTCCTGTTGGCTCCGAGGGAGGCATTCTGGCCTTCCTATAGAAGGCAGCGCCACTTGGGCCCTGCTTGTCCCCCCTCCCCGTCCCTGCAGACACAGGGCATCACTGGGCAGCCTTGTGTCCCTCCCGTCTCACTCCCATGGGGGAGTAGAGGAATCAAGGCCTCGGGCTTGGAGCCCCCAGGTGGCGGGAGCCCCCTCAGGGCTGGGCCCTGTCACCGAAGACAGACTCCAGCAGGCAGGAAGGGTCCCGGCAGAGAGTGCACTCACCCTGGCCCTCCCCATCCCCTGAGGCACAACCTTCTGGAGACGCGGTGCTCAGCCTGCTGGGGACATCAGGCCCTCCGCCCTGCCCAAGCTGCTGCTGGGCATCTGAGCCTGCCTGGCTCCTTCCGGTATCTGTACCTCAACTGCCCCCTCCCACCCCGCACCCCAGGCCAGAGCGAGGGGTGCCTTGCCCGGGGCAGCTTCTTTGTTTGCTGCTCTGGGGACACTGTCCTGGGCATGGTCCTCAGGGGCTGGGCAGGGCAGGGCCACGGTGCCCACCTCATCCAGACTCGACGCTCCATCATCCAGGCCGCAGGCAGTGGGGTAAGGGCCAGGCTCCAGCTGAGTCCAGCCCGCGTCAGTGCAGCTGCGGCTCACGTTTCGGCCTGGGTGGGGGTGGGAGCAAGGGACAGAGGCTGAGGCAGGAGGAGGCCCAGTCCCTGTGCTGGGCAGCAGGCAGAGGACCTGGCCCGACTTCTCCAACCCCAGGGTTGTCAGGCTCCAGCAGCCCTGACCCAGGGCGCCCTGGGGACACCTGGGGACAGCCTCAGAGCAGACCCTCAGGCCTACGCCCTGCAAAAGCTGACTCCAAGCGCAACACAAACTGGTCCTTGTGACAGACAGCTGTGCCCGTGAGGATGGAGTGACCCCCAACCTTTCGTCACCGGGCCGAGGTCCTCCTCAGGCAGGCCAGGCTGTGGCCTGCTGGGGCTCAGGTGTCCCAGACAGGAGCAGAGGGAAGGGCCAGGGACCCCTACACGTTGAGTTCGAGGAGTCCTGGCAGTGGCCTTCCCTAAAAAGGTGCCAACTCAGGAGCCAGGCCTGTCCTCACTCGGTGGCCGGCGGGCAAGGCTGGGGCTGCTCTCAGTGAGGCCTGCAGCAGCCCAAGTGCTGAGCTCTCCCGGGACCCCCGCTGCCTCCCACTCGGGCCCTCGGTCTTCTCCCTGTCCCTCCCCAGGAGTGGGCAAGACCAACCCACCGGCCTTCAAGCTGGGTGTTAAAGCTCCACCCTGAGCAGGTCTGGGCTCCTGTGAGACCTGTGAGGCCGCGCATCTGTGGCCAGACAGTCCTGTGCCAGGCCAGGGACAGGACGCCGCACCACGGACACAGTTCTCCCAGGCTAGGCGAGGCTAAGTGACTTGCGGGAGCCACGCGGCAGGGAAGCTGCTGGCCTGGACACAGACCCTGCTGGCCGACCCACATCCTCCTGGGCTCCTGGCAGTGGGGCCTGGCTGCCCCGGGACCGGTGGGAGGGCACAGGGGTCGACTCCGAGGCTGGCCGGCCTCTGAGGAGTCCTGGGATGGAGGGCGGCCTCAGGGAGCCGCTCCTCAGGGGACCCTGGGAAGCCGTGTCTATGCAGCCCGGCTCAGGGCTGAGGGGACGGTCAGGTGGGGACCCCCGCTCTCCCCTCTCCTGCTCCCCCAGCAACCCCTCTTCCTAAAACCCCCCCTCCACCTCAGCACCCGAGGTACTAGGGGGACGCTTCTGGGGCCCGGGCCTGACCATGGCGCGTCCCATGGAATCCGCCGGGGTGCCCTGCCCCAGCCAGCAAGGGCAAGCAAACTTCTGAGGCTGGCACAGGGCTTTCTGCTCACTGCCTCAGGACCAGGCAGTGCGGGCCTGGAATGTTCCACGGACCCTGCGTACACGGCTAACATGGACTCTGGTTCTGCAACTGGCATCACTCTTCTGCTTATTTAAACGTCTCTTCAGATACTGAGGATAAAAACACCACAGCTGAAGGACGCTTGCACTCCCGCTGGGAGGGAGGCCCCATCTGCCAGCCTCCTCCAGGGTCGCGTCCTGCTGGGCAGGCGGCTCCCTCTGCCCTCCGAGGCTTCCCACATGCTTCCCACCTCGGGGCTTCCTCAGCTTCCCGAAGAGCCAGGCCCTTCCCAGCACACCGGCCCCAGCCCTGTTCCCCAAGGGGCAAGTGCTGGGGTGGCACCGCCCCGCCCAAGGGCGGCCACTTCGTTGTTTCAGGGCCTGTGCTCCCACCATCGGCACCTAGTTACCAGGGAGACACGCCTGCCCCAAGCCTCAGCTGACTGTTTCTCACTGCCATTTGGAGAACTAGGCCCGAGTACAGCCGGGCGGGTGGTCCCCTGGATGAAGGTATCCGGCCGGTGGCTGCTTCGAGCTCAGTGCCCCCAGGTGACCGGGCTCTGCCTGAGGAAGAGCAGCCTTCTCCTCCCCGAGGAGCACCACACAGGCCCTCCCCGCCAGCCAGAGGGTGGGCTGGAGGGTTCTTAGGCCAGGAGCTGCAGAGCCATGTCCAGGATGGAAGGGGGCTGCCCAGGAACCCCCCAGGGGACCTGCTTGGCTGAGGGGCCAGGGAGGCCAGGCAAGGTGCATTCAGGGTCCCGAGTCCCTGGGGCCTCCACAGGGGCCGCAGCCTTAGCCTGGGCACTCTGAGGGCATCTGGTCACCCTGGCCTCGGTTTACAGACAGGAAGCGGGCTCAGGGTGGGGACCAGAGTGCCTGCAGGACACTGGAAACACATTGGGGTGCTGCTCCTTGTCACCCCTCACCCCACCCTGCTCCTCCTTAGTCCTCCTGCTAGGCTGGAACCCATGTGTCCCCCAAGAAGTTTTTCTTTTTTTAACCAGTGCTAGGAATCGAAGCCACATGCTAGCTAAGTGCTCCACTGATGAGCTACATCCCTGGGGCTTTTAAAATCTTTATTTTGAGACAGGGTCTCACTAAGTTGCTCAGGCTGATCTCGAACTCTAGATCCTCCTGCTCCAGCCTCCCTAGCAGGTGAGATTAGAAAGCATGTGCCACTACTTGGCTCCAGGACCCCTGGGGTGGATGGCCTGGCCTCAGCTGCTGGGCCTCTTGGGAGGGCTCTTACTTCCTCAGTGGGTCAACCCACCGACGGGGCCATGGGTCAAAGGGCTTTTAGGAGGTGGGGCTGACCGGATGAAGCAGGTCCTGGGGCGAGCTGGAAGGATGTATCCTGCCCGCCCCCTTCCTTTCTGCTTTTCCCTCTCTCTGCTTCCGGGCCAAGGTGAGCATCTTTCCTCCAGCATGCCCGTCCACCAGGACACTTCTGCCTGGGAGCAGCACTGGTCTGGGCCCCAGTAAACTTTCCTCCCTGACGCCATCTCCCCAGGTGTCTGGTGACAGCAAGGAACCCAGCCTCCAGCATGGGTCTCCTGTCTGCACTTCTGGACTCCTCCTCTCAGAACTGGCACTGCCCATTGGAAGCCTAAACCGAACTGCGACAGTGCCTGATCACACCTCATGGCTTCTCGGTGGACCAGGACAAAGCCGTCCAGGGCTCGAGGCCCTGAGGCTCCGGCCTGCACCGCTGCTCCAGCCACCCTGCTGCCCACCCTTTGCTGGGTCAGGAGCTCGCCCGGGGCCTCCGGTCCCCTCCAGGTTTCGGCCCCCAAGGCGGTGCCACCTCTGACTCCCACCTGTGTGGTCCCCAGCTCCCCAACCCCTCCCAGCCCTCCTAATGCCTCCGACACCTTCGCCTGGGCCCCCAGCTGGCAGGCAGTGGCCACGTCGAGGCCCCTCAGGGTGCCCAGTGTGGTGCCCAGTGGGCTCACAGGTGCCTTATCCACGGAGTGGGAGGGTACAAGTGGCATGTGAGTGTCAGAGCCGCCCGGCCCTGGGGTGGGACACAGCAGGGGTGGAAGCAGCAGTGTGGCCCGCCAGCCACCTCAAGGGTCCCGACTGCTTTGGCTCCAGGCAGCAAGGCTCAATGGTGACGGCCCAAGGCGCCACACCAGACCCAGGGAGCCTTGTGCTAACCAAGTGCCTGTCAGTCAGCCGGTTATCAATTGCTGAGCAAATATTTGGTGAGTCCTTCCCACAGGCTTATCTCCAGGTGAGGAGCTAATCAAAGCCCACAAGTCCTTCCAAAATGCAGCACCATCCCTCCTCTGCACCGCCCTCTGGCCCACGCACCCTGCCCCAGCACCCTGCCCTCTGCCCGGGGCTCTCACCTCGGACGGGGGAGAAGAGCCTGAAGATGAGGGGGCAGGCCAGGACGACCACCTGGCCCCGTGGGGTGGCTGGCCAGCAGGTGAGGTTGTCCCACATCTTGCTGCAGCCTGTGAGGTGGAGGCAGAGGACACGCGGTCAGCAGGTCAGCAGGGACAGAGCCCACAGCAGCCCTTCTCTAGCTCCTCAGCTGGGCTCCCCCGCCGGTCCTCCTCAAGGGTGCAGCGTCCCTGGGGATGTTGTGAGCACAGGAGGTGCCCCATTTTACAGCGATGGGGCCTGGCCTGGCATCTGGCGTCAGGCACGGGGGATGCAGGCCTGGGTGGGCGCAGGGAGGAGCCGTGTCCTAGAAGGCCCTTTGGCAACACCTTTGGCAGTGCGGAGCCCTCGGGCTCTCGCTCCACTTCCTGTCTAATCCCAAGGTGTTCACCACCCAGGCTGGACACACTCGGGCTCTTACAGGAGTGTGGGCTGGGTGGAGAGACACTGCGTCCAGAACTTCAGCGAGAGTCATTCAGGGTTTTGGAAAATCGTGTCCCAACAGCAAAGCTGGCTGGGATATCTGAGTCACAGCTACAACCGCCTGTATACATCAATCTGCATTTATGGCGCTCACACTCCTGGCGTTTATATTTATAGGTACAACCTTCAGACTGTATCCTTTATCTCCCAGTGCAGTCACGCCTGAACATATATAGATCATTTTATTATAACCATTTTTTCTTTTACATTACAGCTAAAACATCATTTTCTTTTGGCAGCACAAGGAGTAGCCTTTAGTCGTATGATTTGTTAGAAAACTGACAGTTTGATTTCAAAATTCCTATTGCAAAATTATCAGCAGCAGTTTTAAACATTTCCACAATGTGGACAGATTCCACTTTGCAGACACAAACAAGGCTGTTATTCCACATCCAAAAGCAAGACTTGTCCCAAGAGGGCCTATTATAGACTGTCAGTTTTTAAAAAGATGACTATATGTGTGTGTTCTGAATTTCATTTTGTAGCAGTAAAGACAGCGTTAGAAAATGCTTCTTATAAAAGAAGATGTTAGGTCTGATGGGCTGACAAGTACACTGGGGTACAGCTGCTTCTTGGGTGTCTTCAAAGAACCCACAAACAACCTGAGTATCCCCAGCTCAGCGAGACCGAATGGTGACTGGGGTCAGGCTGTGACCTGCACCATGGAGCTCTGGGTCTTGCAGGTCCGCTGGGGAGGGGTCTGCTTTGCCAGGCAGATGCCTACACTGTGGCTTTGCCTCTCGAGCACCCCAGCTCCCCTGAGGGACCGAACTGCTCCAGACCTCCTCCCTGGGGAGGCTTAATTGTCCCTCTGCAGCCCTGCCAGGCCCATAGATTTGCTCAGGAAACCCAACCCCAGAGCCAAAGTCAACGCCAGCTGGGCCAAGCCCAGCCCAGCCCAGGTCCGAAGGTTCACAAGTTCCCAAGGAAGGGGCCTGGGAAGAGGAGTGGAGGGCTGTCCCCCTTGGGGAAGAGCATCGGGACTCGGGGGCTGGAGGCACAGCACAGGTGGAGGTGGGGTGGGCGGTGCCCACAGCTGGCTTCTGCAGCTGGACGCCCAGGACCACACCTGTGTCCTGGGGCCTCCCTGCCTGGATGCCCAGCCTCGGTGGCTCCCTCTGCCCCTCTTCTGTTCGGGGCCAGCTCTCCAGGCCGGGCAGGGCCTCCCAGCCAGCAAATCCTGTGACGTCTAGGCCCCGGTTAGTAATGCCAGCAATCTCCTGTGCAGCCTTGGTATGTGCCGGGCGCTGTTCTAGCTTTGTTAAGTGAACAGCTTACTTAACCCTTCCATTTCTCAGATGGTGAAACCGAGTCTGGGATCGGACCCAGCCAGTTACACTTCCACTGAGGGGTGCAGCCTGCTCACTAGCCCCCCCCCCCCCGCCGCCTGCAGGTCCCCAAGGCGTTTCTCCGGGCATTTGCTGCTGCCAGACTGTGTTCACCCCTTTCCCGCAGCGCCAGGCACGCCCTGAGTGTAGGCTTCCTATTGTGTCTGGGTCCCCGCCAGGCCTGGGCTTTCTGGCTCTCTGGATGCCAGCCCAGGCCCTGGTGGATTTGGGGTAGGCTTCTGTCCCTGAGGGGGACAGAGGGAGGGAGATGGGCCTGGCCCTGGGGGAGGAATGTCCACACAACAGGCTAGGCTGGGCCGGGGTGCAGGTCAGCAAGCAGGGGCAGGAGCTAGGGCGGGAAGGCCACCATGCGGTGTGGCAGCTTCCTGCAGGAGGCAGGGTGGGGACGCGGGGCGGGTGGCAGCCAGCAAAGTGCTTGGTGCCTGCTGGGGGCTGTGACCCCAACAGGAGAACCTACCTGAGCCTGCCCCCGTCCCGTCACTGCAGAAGTGCATGCACACAGGGACGCTCCTCTGGGCACACGGGCCCAGACAGACAGGAAGGTTGCACAGCCGAGGGCCACAGAGACCCGGCTTGCGGTCAGACACTCCGTGTTCCCTGCACGTCCATCCGGACAGACACCCACAGACGACGCCCAGGCACACAGCGTGCCCGGCAGACACCCGACAGACACAGGCTGCAGCTTGCAGAGACACTCAGAGTTGGATGCTGGCCCAGAGGGACACAGGCCAGGAGCACCCACTGGGTGTCACCCCAGGCCTCACGGGTCCCAGTGGCCTGCAGACCCATGGCTGCCCCCTGGGCCCAGGCCGCTGCTGAAAGCAGGGCGTTGGCACTCAGCAGGCATGAGTGCCAGCAGTGACCTCATCGGGATCACAAGGTGGCCTGGCCTGAGCCGAAAGGCGCTGCCGTGGGAGCCCAGAGTCTGTCTGGTGTCCCCGGCCTGCTCCTGCCCTGCAGCTGGAGAGGAGGGGCACACAGACCTCAGACTCAGGACCCAGAGGCGGGGGCTGCCTTGCCTAGGGACCCATCTACTAGGCCCATCCACCACTGAGGGGTACAGGAAGCAGAGGGCCTGGCAACAAAGCCAAAAGGAGGGACTCGGGCAGGGTATGGGGCCGTGGCCGCAAAGGGGTGGGAGTTGTGTGTGGCACTTCGGGGAGAGGCCACGTCCTGACTGCCACCCAGCCTTACGGGGGAGGCCCTGACCTACCGCCCCACCTCTCCGCATGGCCCCCTCTGACCTCGCCCCTCCCCGCTTCTCCACCTGCCACCCTTCCTAGCCTGGCTGGAGCCCAGCTGCCCGCCCCACTGGAGGGTGTATCGTCTGTGGTGATGGCCCTGGTGCCAGGTTGGGGCAGCTGGGCACCCTCTTCGTGCTGCCAGGCCTGGACAGGAGCTGGGGTTCGTGAGCCTGCTGAGGGCAAGCCAGGCTGGGAGCAGTGTGGGGCCTGGATGTCACTCCCTATCCACTGGGCACAGTGGAGACAGAGCCTAGGGCTAGGAGGGTGGAGCAGTTTCCTCCCGGACCTGTCTGGGCCAGCCTGGTGTCCCCTCTCGCTCTGCACAGCCACAATGGCTCCGAGTTCCCGTGCGGTCCCCATGGAGGTTGTTCCTAGCCCTGGGACCCGCCTGTCCCACTGTCGAGTCTCTGCCATGTCGCACCCTGGGCTCGTGTCCTGGGCATCATTTCCACTTTTCTAGGAGCCTGAAAGCAGAGGGGCTCGACAGAACCCAGTGTGCATGACCTCCCAGCGGACGCGTGGGCCCCGAGTGCAGAGGGCTGGGAGCCTGCTGTCTGTTCCCAACTGCTCGCCACCTTGTAGCTCTGGGTGCAGTCAGCCCCATGCACCCCCCCGACCAGTGGGGAGTGAAGGGCCCCGAGGGAGGCGGCACGGGTGCCGAGGACTCTGAAGCCCTCCTCGGGGCTCTCACCTGTGGTCTCATTCTCCACCTGAGCCTCCTCCAGGCACTCCCGCTGCTGCCTCTCAATCTGCTGCACGTAGTCACACTCCTGCTCCAGCCCAAATGTGCCCTGGGAACAGAGGGGTGGAGCAGGGCTCGTCAGAGGGCCCAGGCTCAGCTTGTGTCCTTACCAGGAGTGGAGCCAGGCAAGGCCAGGGCAGATGGAAGCTGCTTCAGCCCTGGGGGATCTGACTTCCAGACTGAACTGCACACCAACCCCAGACTACAACCCACCCGACCACAGCCCCAGGCTGAGTCCCCACACCAGCACCAGGCCGCAGCCTACCCAAGTCCACGAGTCCCAAACGTGACCTCAATCGCAGGCTGCAGCCCATCCAGCACCAGACTGAATCCCAACCCTAGCCCCCAACTCAGCCCATCCAACCCCACCCCCAGACTCCACCTCAGCCCCAAACTGCATCTTATGCGGCCCCAGGCTGCACCCTGACCCTGACCAGGTGTAACCCCTCTGTGGTGCACAGCCCCCAAGGTGGGGTACTGAGGGCACTGTCATGCTTCCTGGCGGCTTCCTCTCAGTGGTGCTACTGTAATAACCATGACTCTGTGGGTAGCTGACCCTGGACAGTGGTGCAAGGGCCTCTCCTGAGAGTCTTGAGCTGGCCCACTGGACTCTGACTGTCTCCAGTGTGGCTTGGGTTCCCTGTCCTTGCCTGGTCTCTCTGGATGTGTGGACCAGCTAGTGCTACCCTGCTGTGGGGAGCTGGATCCCAGCCTCCAGTCTTTGGGTCAGGCCTGGGCAGAATCCAGTAATCTGCTGCATGTCCAGCCTTGTCTCCATCCCAGGATCCCATGTCAGCCCCTCGCTCACCAAAATGGAGAGAGGACCAGAGCCCTTCCTGGCCAGACTTCCCCTGCATCCTCTGAGCTTCCCAATAACTCAGTTATTCCAAATCTACTGAGGGTCAGGAGGCTCAAGGAAGTAACAGGCCCCTGCAGGAAGTCTCAAGATCCACCAGACCTCCTCTGCCTCCAGAAGGTGGAAAGAAGGATGGAATAACCCTACCGTCTGCCCTGCCCAGCACTAGCCTGTCGAGGGAGTAGAGTGGGGTGGGGCACACCATGTGATGAGACATCATGGCATTGGGGAGAACACATATGTGGAGGTGATGGCCATCTAGGAGAAACAAACCAGAGACAGCTGGGTCTTGAGAGCTCTTGGGTGGGAAGGGTGGGTGGAAGAACAGTGGGCTGGTGGCAGGTTCTGCCTGTCTCTGACTGTAGCGAAGTGGCAACCCTGTATCAGTTTCCTCATCTACGCCTGGGGCAGAGGACGGTATAGTCCCCACTAGGGCCTAAAGTGAGAACTCAGCAAGACCTTTCCAGAACCAGAGGTTCTCAGGGTCTCCTGCAAGTTGTTCTTCCCATCCTGGGACAAGGTATTTGTCTCCCTGGGCCTGTTTCTCTGTAGGAAAGATGGGCTTCAACCACCTCCACTGCTGAATTGAATGTTTCTTGAAACGAGTCTGGGGAAAGAGCACAGATGGGGGCTCCCCTTCATTTCCTTCTTTTAAAGGGGTCTCCTCTTGGCCTGCAGGCACAGAGTACATAACACCTTGACCAGTGAGTGTGACCACAGGTGGCAGTGAGCTCTGCATTGCCATTGAGGCAGACAGGTCCAAGCTGAAGGTGGGCAGCTGCCTAGCTGGCCATACAGCCAAGTCTCTTCCACCCTAAGAGCTCCCTCATCCCACGCCGAAGGCTTTGTGGAGCCCATTGCCTCTTAGGTCACCTGGAATCCAACTTCACCATATGCAGCTCACACCATGGCTGACTTGGCCAGGCCCAAGGAAGGCCTTTTTGTCCAGGATACCTTTCAGACTTTCCCAGCATGCAGACCCCACCCACTGTGTGTCACTGGTCCAGAAGCTACAAGCACACATGGGTTGTACCTTGGACCATAACTTTTGCTGGCCAATTGGGGTAAAGTCACAAGCTGGTAAGTCCTTTAAAGCTTGTCATATTGGGAGCCACATGGACCTATCATGGAGCAGGCACAGTTACTTGGGTGATTACTGAAAGAAAATATGACTTAAAGGAACGTGGCACCTGTGGGTCCTCTTTTCCATAAGGAAACGCTCATGGTGCTGCAGTGGAAAGGCTCTGTGGCTGGCTCACCCTGAGGTGTGAGGACAGGATGATCAGGTGGATCCCAGGGGTGGCCTGAGAGAGGAACCTGGGCCCTGGCCACCCTGACTTGGGTCCTGTCACAGGGCTGCCTGGCTTGTCTTGGAGCACGCGTCTCCCCCAGGTGCCTTCCCAGCTCCGCCACCCACCAGCAACAGGGATCTTTCTGCCTCTGGCCCCTTCCAACCCTCCTGATGCTCCTGCCCCTTCTAACCTCCTGCCCAGGGCAACACAAAAGCAGGACTGAGGTAGTGGGCATCTGTTGTTTGCCTCTCCTGCCATCCTTTTCTCTCTTCTGGTGCCACATCCCCATCCCTGTCTATCTGGGAAGCAACTTCCTTCCCTGCCACTAGATCCCAAGGTCTCGTGAATTCTCTTCCAGGGGACTGACATGTGATACAGACCTAAGTCAGAGTACTCCTGGCCACACTGCTTGGCACATGGTCAGGCTACACAGACCCAGAAAGCTCATCCTGGCACTTGGGATTAGGCTATCAGCAAGAGAGTGCTTTCCCCACTGACTGGACCCTCACGGGAAGGAGCTTCTGCCACCACCATCTTGTTGACAAGTGGAACATGATAATGAAGGCCACGTAACTAAAGGCAGGATTGAGATGGAGAAAAACCAGGGCCCTCGATGCAGCTGTGCCTACAATCAACAGTGTGTCCCACAACATGAACCAATATCTTAATTCATGGCTTGAGCGAGTTGAGTCTTCCATCCTTATAACCCAAAGTGTCCAGCCTTGTGGGGTGTGGACAGCGGATGCCCTTCCTTCCTGGGCCCCCTGAAGTACTTTGCTGAGAAATATTTCTTTTCCAATTGCTGTGGGGACCTAGGGTTCCCAGCAGCTCCTGCCTGCTGCTCTCTGAGGGTGGAAGAACATGGGATCAACTTCTCCAGTCAACTCTGCTCCTCCAGTGGCACAGCCATGGAGCCCTTCCTGAAAGGCAGCTGGGAGGGGACAGCAGGCTGGGCACAGGAGGCCCCAGGATGACTCAGGAGCCTGGGGTGTCTCTGCATCGCGTTGGGGGTGGTCTAGAAGATGACTCTGTCATGTGACAAGCCCCATCTGGAGAAGGGTAGAGGAAACGGAGACCCACAGAAGGACCTGAGAGCATTCCCAGATGGGACCATGTCTCTGACCTCTGGTCTGGAGAGCATCAACTCTTTTCCACAGCCTTGCCTTGGGCCATCTGGTCAATCATTGTCCTTTGAGGGCCAGGGCCAGGGCAGCTCCCTTTAGCCCTTATCACGGAGGAATTCAGGCAGACTTTGGACTTCCTCTCCCACTTACTTCCCTTTTCTAAACATCCTCATTATCCCTGTGGACTCCAGGCACACACAGAGCATTGGAAAATTCCCTGGCCAAAGACAGCCAAGTCTACCGATCCCAGAAAAGAGCTTGGGATGTGGCTGGAGGGTGGGCTTCATGCAGACAGAGTAAAAGAGAGGGTCGTGGAGGACGTCAGGGTTAGGCAGTGACGGGGGAGTAAGAGCACCTCACAAAACGGAGTGGTGTGTGCACACGTGTGGAGGTGCCTTGATTCTCTGCCTGCAGGAGGCCCAGCGTGGCTGCAGCAAAGAGAGTTCTGGGGCCTCGGGAGATACGGCAGGGACGGGACTGCAAAGACCTCAGAGCCAATTTCAGAGTGAGCTCTGACTCCTGGGGTACGGGGGGGCCTCAAGATTTGAAGCAGCGTGGAAGATGCGCACTTAGCAAAGACCCCCCAGGTGTCAGGTGATAGGACCCAGGGAAGCAGGAGTCTGGCAGGAGTGTGAAAGGCAGCAGGACGATCAGGGGACTCCAGGCAAGGAACTTCCTGTTTGCAGACTGCCCAGCACTGGGGGCCACTAGGGATGACCCGCGCTCCTGAGGTTTCCTCAGAAGAGGGCTGTTTCCCGGCCTGGGACCAGCAGGGGAGGCCAGGGCATGGGGAGCAGGGGCAGGATGCTCAGGAGTGGGCCCATCTTTCCAGCCCTGGACAGAAACCATCACCGCCTAAGATCTACTTAAGTCTCCCCTGCCTGAAATCTTGGGGGAACAGAGGCAAAGGGAAACCGAGGCTACAGACAGCAAGCAGTGTGACCAGAGGCACAGAGATGTGGTGGCAAGGTGGAGAGGAAAGGAGGCGCGGAGAGAAGGGGCAGGACGGGAGGGGCCGGGGAGGCCGGAAGGTGAGACAGATCGCGGAGCCCAGAGGTCACGGAGAGGAGGAAAAGGCGCGCTGCTTTGCAGAGGGCTCACAAGGAGGCTGAGAAAAAACTGCATCTTACGGTGGAAGGGCACGAGCAGCCCGCTGGTGCGGCAGCAACACACAAGGACCTGCTCTGGGCAGGGGCCACACCCTTGTGCCATCGGCAATTCAGAGCTGTCTTTTAGGTCTGTGCATTCCCTAACTAAAACCTGTCCTGAAGTGGGAGGCGCCGCGCCACAGCCCCTCTGGAAGAAGCAGTCCCTCTTGGCCTGGTGGAGCACATGTAAGACCACAGGCTCCAGAATGAGATGGTCACTTCCTGCCGGGTGACTTCTGGCAACGTCCCCAACCTCATCTGCGAAACGGGGCAATCAGAGCGCCACTCACTGCTAGGACTGTGTTGAAGGGCACACGGAAAGGATGAAGCCCGGCAGGAGAGAGTGCTGCCAAGGGTGAGCAGTGCTTGCCAAAGCCCGGGCCAGGCCCCCGCGCCAAACGCCCTGTGCACGCCTGGGCAGGCTGAACCTCCTACCCGCTGGATGTTTACCTGCCAGTGCAGAGCTCGAGCTCTTCCCATTCATTCCCTTCACCCTCATGGCACCTGCTTGATCTTCCTTTCTAAATATTTTACATCCCTTCGCCCACAGCCCAAAGCTTCCCCTCTGCAAACCCAGGTTTTGCAAACCACAGCCCTCGTTGGGGGGAGTCTGAGGTGTGTGGAAGAGG